GAATGGGCTGGGACCCAAGAAAGGGGACAACAGGATGAACTCACTGAACTTGTGTGTGCCAAACGTACAGGCACAGCTTTTTCCTTCTGACTTTGAAGTGCATCTTCCTCTATCAGTTCCCTCTGCAAACAAATGTAGTTAGAGCCACGGAAAGTTGACTTCAGTGGAGTTAACATTAACATTAACAATATTCAACCAGTTTCAAAGATTAAGTCCAGGTCATAGGCAGCTCCATGTTTAGCTAGGTATGATGGCTATGAAAGGTCAGTTTCTCTCTGAAGAAACAGACAGAGGCAGCATGTCAGATTACGTGGAGAGCAGCAATTAATTAGATCAGATGAAAAGTATAGATTTGTAGAATTCAGTTTGGTAAAAAATGGGATTTAGTGGATTTAAAAATTTGACATCATGGTATCAACAGTTTTTACTTTCTTAGAAAGCAATCCAAGAGTAATTCTTTCAATCCTTTTTTTTATTATTATTATTTTTCTTTAAGCATATATTTAATCAATCCACAAGTTAAGTATTGGGCTAGGAATCTGGATGGATCTTGCAGAAACTAAATAAAACCTGGACGTGAGAAACTTATTCTCCAGTCAGCACGAGTTTAAAGAGAAGGCAAGAAACGTACAATGAGAAGTAGGTTAGTTTTTACATACTTTCTAGGTGCTCTAGCAAAGGTCTGTTACTAATACAGAGAAAGAAAAAAAAAAGACGATTTTTATCTTCAGTGCCACCTGCATAATGCTCCTGCAAAATAAAGCCAGGAAAAGTGGTTCTTCTGACATGGCAGAAAGCAAAAGTCAAGACAGGCTGTGTTAGTCCAGTCTGGCCTCCTGCATGACTTTTCTGAGGCAAGATTCTCACAAGATGAAGCAATGCAACTCCACTGACTGTAGTATAAAAGCACAGTTTATGAACACTGAGAACCCCCTCCCACTCTGCTTGTCACACTGAAACCTTTCTAAGGAATTTATCAGCACGGAGGAAATGTAAATATGGAAAACTTCAGTGGTGGGTACAAGCAAAGGGACCCAAACCACCTGAGATAAGCTTCAGCTTTGACACAGGCTTCCTGCATGACCTTGTGTACATCTTCTCTGTGCTGAGTTCCTCGCAGACTAAGCTGATCCCTGGGGGATGCCGTAAGGATACGTGCTCCAAAGAGTATGAGGCACTGAGATCATGAAAATATTTTAGAAAGACAGCAGGAAAAGGTGAAGGACTCCAAACACTAACAAGACCCGTGTGCGGTGTTGTCAGGTGGGAGCACACAAGTCAACTCTTCTGTAGGGATGTGCCATCCTGATATTCTTCCTTTACTGCAAAGAAAAGGAGCACTAAAGGCAGCTAGATTATCTTCCAGGAAACCAGCAGTGAAAAGCGAGCCGCTTATCCAGTCCTGTGACCCCCCTGCTTCTTTCCCTTCAGCAGCAGAGAGCACGATAAAAGCTGAGATGAGTCTCTGTAGGAACCCAAAGCTGTGAATCTTCCTCTCACCCTGTCTGGCCAAAATCCCTTCATTCGCAGGGGGAATTTAGGCCAGAGATCACCGGTTCTAGCTCTCCGCCAGAATAACAGAGGAGAGGGTTAGAAAGGAAGAAAAACAGCCATAACTCAGCAAGTACAGTCAGAAAGAAAGGAGCTGGAGATGCAGAAAATATGTAGTCCTCCGCTGTGTTTCCAGCTATATCCACACCCTGCTGACCCTTCCAAATTTCCCCCACCCCATTGGGTGATATTTGTTTGCTCAGAAAGAAGGCTATTGTGTACCTTTTAGAAGAAAGGAGTCTGGAAGATGAATAGATTTCTGCTCCCCTGGAGAAGGGCTGTACCTCATCCCATCCCCCAGCCATTTGCAGGTCCATTTCCATACTAGTAAGACACTGTGAGATACCCTGGGATCCCCAGTACCATCTCACCAAGGGACCCCCATGAGACTCAGAAGTGCCAGGAGAGCTGGCTTGCGGGCCCTAGCAGGACTTGGGACAGGAAAGGCCAAGTACAGAACTTCTTTCCCTGTTCTCCTCCCATATACAAAAAGAATTATTAGAGACTGGAGAAAATCAGAAATAAAAACAAAATCGGTGCAGCTGAAGTTGAGATGGTTAAAATGAAAAATGGGACTGTGTCACTCACAGGTGGATAGATAGATCAATCAATTGATGTCATCGGTACTGACACAGTTTGAAGCTATAACTCACTGCTGGGGCAATTATTCCAGCACAGCAGGGGTAAGGTTATATCAGAGACAGAATCCAGGTGCTTTCAGTCAGTGAAGAGTTGGACACCAGAAGGGTAGAATTCATAAGTGCCGTCTACCAGTAACACTGCATGGGATATAAACTATGTCCACACAGTTGCAGAGTGGAAACTGAAAGACAGACATACAAATAGACATGTAAAAGTCTGAGGTGTGGTTGTGCAAACATTTGCTGTCTCACCTTGCCCTCCTCTACTCTCTACTTTCCTTAGAGAGCAGTGCTCAGCAGCACTATGTCCCAGTTCTCTTTGCCATCTTGCTCTTGACTTCTTTATCCCCCTGCACTAAGTGGTGCTGCGTCTGCAAGGTGTGAGGAATTTTTCTTCATAAGCCTTGATGTGCTCAAGAGAAGGCTGGGCTCATCTCTGCAGTGAGCCTGACAGGGGCTTTAATAGCCTCAGAGCACCGGGACAAATAGCTTCTGGTCCCTTAACCCTGCACAGCTTTGCAAGGCAAGGCCTGGCACTGTTGTTCCCATCGTGAGGGCTTTAGGCAGCCTTTCAGGCTGAAATCCTCTCTGTGGTGGCTGGGCAGAGCGGAAATCCAGGGGCTGGATCAGATTGTCCTAATGCTACAGCAGCTTAAGCGGTCTGTTTTACCAGAGATTATGGTTTCACTTACACAGAGCGCCTGAAAAATGCCACGGTTTAGGAAGGATTATAGCTGAAAGTTCCATGCTTTAAAAGAGAAATAAAGCAGGGGAGGGACTAGGAAACCCAACGTGCCCAGGGGCTGTGCAAACAGGATTAACCTCTGCCCACAGCACCTCTTGCTTCTGCCCACCCACATTTCCCGCGTCCATCTTCTCCCCAACAGCTCCCTACACTTGACGTCTCCTGCACAGCGCAGAGAGCAGCAAGGAGACTGGAGAATGCTCAGAACCGAGGTCTCCCCCGTTTATTTTGCTAGATCTGTACACTCTCTTGCCATCTGACAGGAGAGCCAGAAAAGAAACAGCTTTGGGGGTTCTCCATCTACTGACTGGGCACTGGCTTACAAAGACTCACTTGCAGGACTGTAGGACGGTATCCAGTAGTAAAAAGCAGTGCCTGGAAGCTGATGTGCTGCTCACTCTGGTTACACTAATTAACTGTGTAATAATCACCACAGACTCCAGCTTCTGTTCATCACATCCCTAAGAAAAGTTCCTTGCCCGACAGAACTTCCAATGGCAAAAAGGGAGAAGAAACAACAGTCCCCACTGAGCATACCAGAGGCTTCCAATACATAATCTAAACAAATGGGAACTGCATATCTTTTGGCCATAACTGATCCTTACTAGTCAAATGACCCATGACCATATGTCTTTGCTGCAAAGGAGTCTCACAGCTCATGGATCCTTGCCGGCCATCTAGGTTAGAGGCACTTGGAGGAGAACACAGATGGAAAATTATCATTTTTGCTAGGTAACAAACCTTTGGAAACAAATGCCTCAGGATAAACAGTATTCACAGACAGAAACTGCCCAGCCCTTAATTGTTTAGGTGAGCACTGCAGCCTCACAATAACATGCCTAGAGTCAGTTAAAGCCAGTTCTACTTTAATGAGGCCAGATTTATCATCTAATTATATGTCTCGTTTGTATCTCTGTATAAATCAAAACCACCACAACTAACTTACATACCATTAGCAGCACTTGCCATTATGGCAGAGAGATGGCTTTTATTAATTGGCTTTGGGTGGTTGGTTTGAGAGATGATTTGGACCATGTGCGAGCATGTCATCCATGCCTCTCTTTCAGGTGTTTAAGTACAGGACTCCATTGCTGCTCACCCAACAGTGCAGCACCATGCTTTAGGTCACAGAGTTCTACAGTTCCCAGACCTGCTTCTGGGAGCTCAGTTAGGAGCAACTTAGAGCTGTATCTGTTGTGCTTGTGCAAATCTGCACATCAGAAATGGAGGTCCAGTGCAAACAGCAGTGAAAATGAGACCTTGTATAAGTTTCCCACATTTTCTCTCCTCAATTCTATCTGTTCATCAGCCTATCTGTCTAGAAACACTGTGCTCTAGGAACTACCAGAGGCAGTACTGAGTGCATGCCACTGTAAAAAAGATCAATTGATTATTTATCTATTTATTTACCTATTTAATGGCACAGCTCAGTTTTTCATTTTAACCACTGCAAACTTCAGCTGCACCTCTTTTGTCAAAGCTTTTAAGGAGCTTGACTTGACAAGCTTTGGCCATTACATCAAGCATCCTCTTTAACAGATGCTCATAACCATGCCGCTCTCCTGGGGAAGATAACCTTGGGTTTGAAGAGACAAAGGGGTATAATTCCCTGGGCCAAACTGTGTGAGCATAGCATCGTCATGTGAGCAAGAGAAAGCAGCAGGAAAGGGAGCATAGAAGCTTCAGAGCATTCTTCTCCTTCCCAACCCTATGCTTCTTCCTGTCCTCCCTCTCCCGCATGTTCACTCCCACACTCCCCTGCATCCCATTCCTCCCATCTGCCACCGCACTCCATTTTCTCGTACCCTGCTGCCCTGCAGAGGCATCACTGCAGTCAGAGCCTAGCCCCCGGGTGCATTTACTGCTGTTGTCTCAGCACTGGCTCCTCTGATCTACTCCTAACCTTTTTTATTTTTATTTTTGTTTTTAAATTAGTTTCCCTGTAGATTTTAACCACTTCATTTTCATTTACCCATTTTGTTCTTCCTCTCCTCCCTTCCCACCCTCCTCTTCCTCCCCCTGTTCCCTTTGTCTGTCTGTGTCCATCCCTTACCCTACCACAGAAAACCTCTCCTCTCCCCTCAGTATAAAGCAAGAGCCTCATGGAGCCTCTCTCACCCCTTTCACCCCCACCACGCCGGTCGGCTCTGGGCAGGCTGAGCTTCAGCCCTTCCACATGACCCTTTCAGACGATGCGTCCACGCCTTGCTACAGTGCCTTCCTTCATCATGGTGCCCACTTTGGGCAGTCCAGCAGCCAGCCTCTGATAGCAGGTAACCGGCCTTGGCCACGAACTCAGCGGGGGTGCTGCAGGCAAGGGGGTCAGTTTCACCTGATGGGGAGACCAGTAAATGCTGCAAGCTCTTTGAGTGCAAGTGGGAAGCAGAGCAACGGTGTTCTGGTTCTGTGTATGCAGCATGCGTTCTCAGCTCCATGGAGAGTCACAGGGAGATTTCATGCCTGTCCTTCATTTTTGCAGAATAAAACGGGAAAAAAAGCTGTAAAAGCATAGAAGGTGTCCCACCTGGATGGGCTTGGGGCTTAGTAGGGAAATATTTGTACAGCAAAATCCTGCATTGTCTCCATAACAAGAATGCCCCTGTGTACAGTGGGCCCAGCAAGGCTTCTGTGCAATAGCCTAAGGTAGATGATTGAAGCTTGACTAAGTTAGCCAGCCCTGAGACTGCCGGATGGTTGTTCAGCACGGCTTGTGAAAGCTACCAAGTGAGAGCAGTATGTAGTCAGTAGGTGAGCAGCACCCCAGCTACACCGTGAGCTGCACTGAGGCAGCTGCTTCACTGGCACCTCGCGTGATATACCAGGCAGTCAAGACAAAAGGCACAGTCTTTGTGCCATGACCAGAAAGGGTTGGTTAGAGACTCTGAAGCCTTACAGTCAAGTGAATGCAGACCTGTGGTGGTGGCCTTCAAGGGAAGGACAGAAGTAGGTGGCAGAAATGGAGCACTTAGGAGCGGCAGGCTGGAGGGGAGAAAGGAGAGTGGAGTTTAAGGTAGGTACAGGGGAAGTTCCTGTGTGAGGTGACTGAAGTGTCATTGCTGCAGAAGCTCAGAGGTGGCTGGGGTGAAATAGTGGCAATCTTTTTAGGTGACGACTGAGAGTGTTGTCACTCCACTGCCAAAGAACACAATTTGGGCAAGTTCTTCAGAGTGCAGACCACAGTCCCACAGTGCTCAAGAAACATATCTTACCTTTGCCTCTTTCACATTCCTATCATTTTTTTCTCTTTGGACCTAACATCCTGCCTTTGTCTTCTTAGATGACATTTGTGTTTCCAAACCTCCCTGTAGGACAGTAGCAAGCAACTACAGAAAAGAAATTTGTGTTCATAACACTGTCCAAATCTTACTGCAGCCAAAAAAAGCCCCTAAGCTCCAGGTATTCCTTTAAGCCAGGGCTTATACTGACAGATTCTCTCCAACAATGTGGTTCAATGGGGATGCTGTCATGTATGACCACTTTCTAAGCTAGAAGGCACTGTTTTTCAGGAGAGGAACTTGCTTTAGGACCTTTGTGGAGAATTAGACTTGGAAGAAAATGTTCAAAAGCTCAAAGAAAGGCAGGGTGACGAAGATGAGAAGAGCCTCAGAAGGCTCTAGGAGAAAGAAGCGTGACTAGAACTGGAAGCATGCTATAAAGCAAGACAAGTGCTGGTTTTGCCATAGCCCTCCAGTACAAGAATTTAATAATCTTGTTTACCTGGTAGTAACAAGAGGAGGCAGTGGAAGGGGGTTGCTTCTATGTAGCAATACTTAGGAGTCCCTCTGCAGGACCTTACTCACATTAGTGATACTGTACTTGTTTGTTATCTACAAGATTGGGATTTTGACAGATGATCACTTCCCAGCAAATCTTCCAGACTGCATTTTGAATATCAGCCTCTGTAAGCTCACATCTGAATAAAAACACAGGGGCATATGCGTGCAGATCAGGTAGCAGAGTGAGTGTGTACGTATTCCCACTTGAATGGAAGTGTCAAAGTGAATTAATTATGCCTGTTACTACATAATGTTCCCTCTAACTTTTCAGTGACACTGTTTTCTCACTCATCACCTGCCGTTACATCTCAGACTAGTGAATATAGAAAACCAAAAATACATGAATTTGAAGCACAAAAATTTCTTCCCTTAAAAGAATGTGAGAAAAAAAGAACTACATCTAGTAGGCGTTAGTCATACTGCTTAATGTGCATCTACACATCACTAAAGCAACGCCGGTGGTTGAGAAGAGTAGAAGAGTGTAGAATACAAATCCTCAAAGCCTTATATATTTATTTTTATCAATACTGGGGAGCGGCTGGAAAGCGGCTCGATCTCTGCCTAGCAGTTCTGTGGCCATTATCTCAAAGTGAGCTGGGAATGTCAGCTGTGGCTCAGGAATCTCTTGAGGGAGAAAGAACTTACTTTTCTTTTTTCTTGAGCAAATCAGCTCAGCAGCCTTTAGTCAAGATCTACAAAAGCAATGACACTGCTTTAGCCCACCTAATTCTGGAGAAATTTCCTCCCCCAGGAGTCATTCTCCATGTTGATTTTCCATGTTTTTGCTCTGCCATGTAACTGTTACTTATTTCTGACACCCCTGACAACATCCACGCTTGTTCCAGGGCCTGCTTATCAGTTACTGTTCTGCCTTAGTCAAGCTAAAGCAATTCTTATTCTTCCCATCACACATCCCAGCACAATTCCAGTGATTCCACTGGTGTCAGTGGGACATCCTTAAACTGTCACACTCCCAAAGGCAAATCAGACTCCAGCTCTCTAAGAATAAGTATCTCTTCAGAAAGGAGCAACAATTGGCACAAACTTCTTGGTGAGCTACAGCTCACCTAAGGTGCATAAGGAACACGAAAGGCTTTGGATGGCAGAACAGGCTGAGATCTCAGTAGACAGCGCTGGATGTTGAGCTGTAAATCTCCCAGCAGCTGCAGGGGAAAGATTATCTTAATTCATTTAGTCTTTCTTTTTTTTTTTTTTTTTTTTGGTTTGGTTTGGTTTGGTTTTGGCTTGAAACTCCCAGCAGCTTTTGAGATGATTTCAGTTCATTTAAATGCAATAAGCACTAACAGCAAAATGCCCTTCTGGCTGGCCCATTTTCTGGCTAACCAGTCCAAATGAGGAAATGCCTCTGGCATCAACCAAGAAGCCTCCAGCTGCACTTCCTATGAGATGAAAAATAAACTACCATCATCCACTTGGCCCACACTCCTTTCTACATCATCGGTGGAGACAAGATACCAAGACTTGGAGAACTACTAACAAAAACTTGGATCTGTGATAAAATGAAGTGAGACTGAAATTAATTTGCACAATTCCATTCTTATATATCACACCAGCACCTGGAAGGTGTCCAACAAGCACTGATCTCACGATAGGCACTGTGCGAATGTACTGGGAATGTGCCCTTGCACCAAAGAGTTTGCAGCATAAAAAGAAGCACAGACAGGTGAAGTGACTTGCCTAAAAGTATCAGCAGGTGAACAGCAAGAAGTGGGAACAGAGACAGATACAGAAAACACTTGGATCACTTTCTAGTGCCTTACACATCGACCATGCCCTAAGGCAACATCACCACATTTTTGGAATGGCATCGACTGCTTATAGAAGGGACCTCAGCTACTCTGGCCATTAATGTACTGCCATTCTTTGTGAAGCTTAGGGCCGTTTTGATTTAGCTAAAACAGATCCAACATTTCTAATGGGCTGAAAAAAATTTGACAGCGTAAACAAATTCTTTTGAGCCTCACAGTGCAAAGTTTTAACATTCATCCTTATAACCTGAGACCAAAAGTGCCACAGTCTTTCCCCAAAATTTTCAGAGGAAGGTCAGCATCTATGTGCCGCAGGCCACACAGCTCTTGCCCAACGGACTGCTAGTCAGATGGTGGTGGGGTAAAAAGCGATATCAAATCAATATTGGATGATCCTATCCCTTCTGATCCCCTGTTCCGATTCTTTCCTTTTTCAGGTCGTGATATGGCAAGCACCACCTTGCCTGGCTACCCACCCCATGTTCCCCCAACTGGACAAGGCAGCTACCCAACCTCAACTCTGGCAGGAATGGTTCCTGGTAAGTCCAGAATTCAATAATGGTGCACGTGTGTTTGAACAGTATACCAGCAGTGTAACAGCTTTCACAGTTGGCTTTGTTATTGCTTTGCTGCCACTGAAGTCTATTCTTTTCACAAAGAATATGTCAGGTGCCTATAACCAAAGTAGCTCACCACCCATTTTGCATTGTATGTCTGTCCCCTGGTAACTGATTCACTGCTGCTATGGGCAACTAGCTATCTATAACCTGTACCAATTAATTGGTAATTAATTAACCTTAGTATTCATTAACTAATGTAATTATTTTTCAATGATCCGTGCAGGTTATTATGTACTGCTCGTGGCTCGGGATATTCAGCTGTTCACTAACTTAGGGTAACAACTTACGTCTGTCTAAAGGCAGGGCTTCAAACTGCAAACCATCAACGGTAATTTAAGACCTGCAGTTTTTGGAGACCTACTGTCCACAGCCTGGACTAGCTAAGAGCTCAGCAATGATTAACAGCATTTCAGGAGAAACTAACTATTCACTTTCAACAGCCAACAACTTACCCACTCTCCGTTTATATGACAATGCCTCCAGCTCAAGAAAGTATCTACCTAATCCTACACTGCAAGGCAAACTGTTCCTTTGCCACTCAAATCCTTGGAAGAAATACATTCTTTTGGCAAATGTCTTGAGTAATACTGCCCAGGGTATGGGGAGCTCAGGGGATCATTTACCCTTGAAAAATGGAGAAGGTTATTCCCACAGTCTCTACTCCCCAGTTCTCAGATGACAGCCAGCCCAAGCAGATAAATGAAGAGGCAGGATTTTCAATTCTCAGCCACAGTAGCTCAGGACTTCATCTGCCACTGATTTCTGCTTATGGGAGCTGCAATAGCTAATGAGCGGGTAGAAACTGTTCTGCAACCTCTGCTACCAGAGGAATGACTCAGACAGCAACTGCGAAGTGTAGCAGCAGAAAGTTGATAACAGAAAGCTTTTAGATCACTGCAAAATGATTTCCACAGTTTGTGAGTCTAATTTAACCCTCATCCAAACCTTGAAACAGCCAACTAAACAAGCACATGCTGCAGAGCACAGTTAATCAGTGAAAATATCACCAATAGGGGATGTTTGTAGGTGAGCCTTAACACCTTTAAACAACCAATCACTGCTTATATATCACAAAGTACAGTTAATACTATGGTCACATTCCACAGCTAGCAAGATGCCCACTACTGCATATGATCCCAAGACATATAAAAAAACCTCTTGGACTATGCTGCAACTACCGGATCAGGCAAAGATAGCAATTGGGTACCCTCTGTAACCTGCCTTCAGTCCCTCAGTATAGATGACTGCTGAATTGTTGGGGTGCTGCAGTGTTTGCAGAACCCAGGGCATCCCCTTCTACAGTTTTTCAGAGAGATGGTTTCAACTCCACTTGGCTCCAGAATCAGAGGAGCACTATGATGATATAAATCAATTTTAAAAAGCACTCTGTAACAGTAATCAGATTCAGTTTACAACATACATGTCAGTTATAGTTCATAGGTCATGCCATACAGAAATGATTGGTAGCACTAAAACAGATGACTCTTTGAATACTTATTTCTAAACCACAGGCTCTTCTCAACTTTTAATACACAAGATCTCATGTTCAGTGTCTGCTATGTAATTTTAACACCCTCAATACAGGGGTGATACTGACTCCTAAACTGGGACAAAGATTTTGAGACTGCTAATCACAGGGACCATTTATCCAAGAACAGGCGATTTGTTGCAGAGGCTAATTAGCGTAAGACAAGAGTGCCTCTAAAAACACACAGATACTGAAATTAAAAAACCCAAAAAAACTAGGAATAGAATGATGAAGAAGTTGAGTTACGTATACTCCAAAGAGATTATCATCCATGTCTAACAGACATCTTTACATTAAAACTGATGCCCAGATTCAGTCATGGAAAGTCTTCCTGTGGCCTGCTTGGGCATCCTGCATTAGTTACTGCATCTTTCTACATAGCACCGAGTCCTGGCTGTGCTGGTCAGGCCCCGCTGGGCAGCCCCAGCCTGGCAGCCCTTCTGTTCCTGTCTTCTTATGTGACAGAAGCCAACAAGCTGGAGATGAAGAGGCTTCCTGGGGAGGAACATAAGATCAGCTCTAATGGGTCACACCGCAGGACTCTTCAGCCAGTGCTCTCTATCAGAGGCCAAAAGTGAATCTTGGGAAGAGTGTAAGAGTAAAGCAAGCCAGTATCAGCACTTTCTCGAAAGATCTCTCTGCCTCCAATGAGTTGCAGCTCATGGACTTTCTAAGGCAGTTAGTATCTTCCTGTTTAATACTAAACACTCTGGACAAAATGCCCTTCCATAATCTCAAGCAGTGCCTCCTGAACCAATATAAGCCTTTAATGTCTGTAGCAGCCCATGGCAAAAAGTTCTGTAGCTTAACTGAGTGTTGTGTGAAAACTACCTCCCTTATTTGTTCTGAACACACCACCTGCTAGGCTCACTTCATGCCTCATAGTTTCTGTATTAGAAGTCTGAACGTACCAAGATTTAAATACAGATACCAAGAAATACTGTTAGTAAAGGTTCCCAGAGTGCAGACTGCACAGAATATGGGCCTCATGAGATCGATCTGCTGTGCTTGCTGCTAAGCGTCCATGCTGAAAAGGGAAAACAAAGCAGCACGTCACCAGTGGTTTGCTATGTGCCTGTGGGCCAACAGGACCAGGAGCCCGTGCTTTGGGTGTGTCAGAAATACAGAGCAAGGTGACAGGAAAACCAGCATCATTGTCCAGCTATAAGCGGACGTGAGAAAGAAGCTCTATTTTCCCTAAATAAAGGCTCTAAGCTAAAAGCAGAACCTGGATAGAAAGCAAAATTTCCAACTCATTCAAAATTCTGATTTTTTTGACATTTGTTTTCATCTTGCATTGGAATGAGGAGTCAGAATCTTGAAATTGTTCAATTTGCAAACATCAGGATGAAACATTTCAATAACGACAACATGTTCTAGATGTCAGGACATATTAAAATAATAGAAGAGATGAAAGGAAATTAAATGAGATGAGAAAAGCAGAATGAAACAAAACAAGAAAGTTGAAACATAATACTTTGTTTTAATTTGCAATCATTTCTGAACTTTTCCTTCCAAAACTCCCCTGAGTTGACAAGCTCATGCAAAACATTTCCATTTCGATGAGACAGCATTTTCCAGCGGAAAGCAGTTACTGAAAAGACTGACCAGTGCCAACCATAGCTTTCTGTTCTACCCATGACAGCCCTTCACTGGAGTTCTCCTCACGTGGTCTAGAGAAGAGCTTGTCTCCATTAGCTGTACATCCATGCAACACGGTCAGTCATGCATGCCAGTATCTCGGAGGTCAACCCACATGATGTGGCAAAATACACGTCCTGCATTTGCAGTTGCCCACAGTTTCAGGTTATTGGATGGACATGGATGGAAACAAGCAGTCCCTGCATGCATACCTGAAAAAGCAGTGTTAGTCACTCAGAGAAGGATGAAATCCATCTGAGAAATGCTTCCTGCAAAGGTAACAGAGCACTCTGATCCCCGGCTCACTTCTTCCACTTTCCCAGAAAGGCCATCAAGATTCTGCAAACAGTTTTGGTGAAGTGAGCATTCTCTGAAAGGAACTGCAGTTTTCATAGAGCAGCACAGAGCCTGCAGAGGGCTGGTGATGGCAACGGCAGGGAGTCGTTAAACAGAATCCAATGTTGATGAGGAAATTACACTTGTTTCATTAGTGATCAGGGAAGGCGATAGCTCAGTTCCTCTTGGTCACAGTTGAGCTCAAAAGCTCATTATCCTGCTGCATGCATGCTTTCACTCCTCGTCAATAAACACTGTTTCCAGTGGCTGCCCTCTCTCCTCCCTGGTTCTCCATAGCCAGGGCTCTTTCTCCTCTACTTAACCCGGGCTTTAGGAACTGCTATAAACAGTTTAGGATGACAACTAGGAAGAAAGTGAGACAGAAGCCCTGAAACATCAGAACTTCTCGATGTAGAGAGGTTAACTCTTTGTGAGGCATTTCAAAGCAGTAATTCCCATCTGCGTTGGTTTTTCGCTTCCTGGGGGGTCGAATTCATCCAACTATACCCACAGGTGATTCGTGGGAGAGGTAAACCTGGACTGCGCGTTGCTTTTTGCCTTTGTATCCTACTCCAGGGCATCTTAGTCATCACAATGGGCTTCACCTATTCCTTCCCAGCTACCCGTTGGGATTTTCAGTGCAGAACGTTTCTAGATATGGAAACATGCTGAATTATTGTCACTAAAACAACGTTTAAGGTCTGTCATATGAAATACATTTGTATGCTGAAACTAAAAACTACTGTAAAGGAGCTTTGGATGGTAATTGGTTTGGAAACACATATGCTACTTTGGTTATTGTTCTGAGCACCTTTAAAGGACCCAGCCAGACAGATTCTGCTCCAGTTTAAATCACTGCAAATACACCAGCTTCAACAGACTTCGCTTCTGCCATGTGAGAATACAGGCTTTTGCTTTAACTCTCCTGTGAAGGGAGATTTGCAGAGATTACAGTGTAATTAATTGACATTTCTTCAGTAACTGCAACACAGGCATCCAGCGCATACTGCATTGCCTCCTCTTCCTATTCCATGGCATCTAGCAGGGACCCCAGCTGCTCTCCCAACACTTCTTTGTTTTCCACACATCCTTTGGAGCAGACCAGAAGCTACGTCATGCTGTTCACTCATTGCCTTTTGAGCACATAATGCCTTTCAGATGTCACCCATTGCGCATTGGTACTGCATCAAATTGAGTCAGATAATGACTTTTTTTTTTTAAAGTTTTGGGAGATGTATTTACTTTGAAAGCAATACCATACCTACTCAGTTCCCAAACATAATTCCCATAGCCCTGCACAGACATCTATAAAACAATAAAATACTTAAGATGACAACATTCAAATCTTGGTTCAGAGTCTTACTAGACCACAAAGTTCACAACTAGTGTGCTTTGGGCCTTATTTGCCAAATGTGAAGAGAGATCCATAGCCCAGCTCGTCTTCCAAGACAGCACCTAACGTAACAACCATTGGAAATTTCTTTTCCGGAACTGGAATACAGAAAGTTTTCTCTGTAACTCACTGATTAATCGTAAGTGTGGGCCTCTGAATCACTTTTATGACTAACATCATCAAAGAACAAGAAAGAAAGAGTGATTCATATGTTTTCTATTTTGTTTTCTATTTAATCCTACCCTGCTCTCAGCACAGCACCAATAACAAGCTCAAACAATATGCTTCTGTACCCTCAGTAGCCCAAAGACAAAACTTAGCCATCCATACTGACAGCAACAGCCCTGCTGGCTCTGAGGAGTTTAGTTGTGTACCTTAAAGCTCCCGTGCCATTTCTTGACACTGATTCTATTTAAAAGAAAGCTGATAGACGTAGAAAAAGCTTGCATATCCAATCATACTACAACCTGAGAATCAGAAATCAGAAGGCAAAGAAAAAGAAACCAGTTTGTTTATTATTTGTACTTTTGAAATATATTGTTTTAAACTAATTTCTTCATTCCAAGGTCAATCTCTTGATGTTTAATTGTACAGATAAGCAACACTGCACACAGAGTGCACAAAACCTATGGTGAGCTGAAGGGCACAGCCCCAGCTGAGCAAGGAAGCAACATACACTAGTTTTCCTGATGGCATATGGATTCAACACGAACATGGGCTAGATGAAGCAGCAAACATACATCTACTTCCTTCACCGTATTTCACAACTTCCTTGATTTCTTGCAGGGAGCGAGTTCTCAGGGAACCCCTACAGCCACCCTCAGTACACAACCTACAATGAGGCCTGGCGGTTCAGCAACCCTGCATTACTAAGTGAGTACCTCTTTGCCACCGCACCCCCAGCTTCGCGCTCCTTCTGTTTGTCTCTTTGTTTTCTTTTCTCTGTTTGTTTGTTTCTGGAAAGAGCTTTCAAGTCTTTGACCAGACGAAGGGCCTTTTTCCTCACTCTCCAGTCCAGTGTCTAGATGAGTATATAGATCTCATGCATCCGTTCTGAAGCCAATTCTTCCATGAGATCGTTCAGAATTCCAGCTCAGCTCTGTCTTCTTGGGCTGCATCCACAGTTTAACCCAGACCAGATCAGAAGCTAAATTCAAGTTCCGCTACTCTCTCCAGCTGCAATTAGCATCTATTCAAGGTCCAATCAAAAGTCCAGACGAGCTTTTACTCCTCTCCCAAACTAACCCCAGAGGCTTTTTCTGGAGACCTGGAATTCCAGTGGGAGTTCTTATAAGACCGAGTAGAACACTGCCTAGAATGGGAGATAGCCTTCAGCACTGCATCTTTAATGGCCAGTAGAGTTTCCTTGCAGGAATATATCTATCTGTAGAGACTCTAATACGACCAGAAAAAGTCAGGTTTTTTCTGCAGAGGGGAAAAAATTTCTCATCATATCTTCTAACACAACAACTCTTTGCAAGAAAACAGGAAGATATTTATTATACGTAAAATAAATCAGCTGTGATTATTAACTACGTTTTTACGGAGGTTTAACAACTGGATAATAGATGCACATTTTACTCCAGTGCCGTTAAACCTCAGTAAATGCGATCTTAATAATCGATCACTATTTAACATGCATTCAATAACTGTCTAGAGGGCTTTTCATCTGACGAAAATCCCAAGTATTAAACAAAGTAATTTTGTTCCCTTTCCTCTCCTGCCTTTAAAACCGGCCCACCATACCTTACCAGACACACTCAGCATGTGCTGAGCACCTCCCTGGTGCCCCCAACACAAGCATGGGGTATTTCTTCAGTGCTTGATGCTTCCCTCTCAGCTCCTCAGTGATGGTCAGAAGGGCCAAGAGCATCTTCCCACAGAGGGTCTTCACACCTAGGGGCCTTGTAACCTCTCTTCTCTGAAGCATGGCATTGGCCAGCCTCCACTGACTGACACAGCCAAGTCCCCAGTGTTCGTTCTTTTGCTCCCTTTCCTTTTCCTCGTTTCCTTTTCTTTTGTTTTTAGTTCTCCTTTGTTTTTTTTTCTTTGTTTTTTTTTTTTTTATTTTTATTTTTTTTTTTACTGTTTGTCCTTTCAACCAGTCCATTCTTCTCCTGTGTTAACTTTCAGGTTCCCCTTATTATTATAGTGCCACATCCCGGGGCTCCGCACCTCCCACTGCTGCCGCTGCCTATGACCGCCACTAGCTACCATGGAAACCACATGAAACTGCAGGGTGACAGCTTAGGCCTCCATATTGTACCTGTCTGACCCATCCCTCCGCCCCTGGGAAGGTGAAGAGAGCCTCGCCGTGCCCCCCCGCAGCACACCTCCCTCTCCACCGCTCCGAGCGCTCGGCATACCAGACTGAGAACCCCGTTCTCCCCGCATCCCCCCGCACCCTGAGGCACCTCAGGAGCCCTCAACAGCACCTCGGCACAGCTCGACCTCCTGCGCTCCCAAGACTTGAGGGGAACTGGCAGCCATTGCCTTGCGGGACCCCATTCTCCTGGGAGCGGTATGGGCAGGGGGAAGCAGGGAGACAGCTGCTCACTAAACACTGATCCCCAAAGATACGCTCCTCTGTGGTGAACTCTTCAGAATGCGTAACCGGTGACCGTCGCCCTGTTTCCCAGGACAGAAGGAACAGCCTGGCTAGAGCAGAGACGGTGGCACTAAGCCCTGCCTACCTGGCAAACACGAGAAGGACCAAGTGACTTTCTGTTACTCCCCACGCACCTCATCCCACCCCCTGGCATGGCTCCTGGCGCTGGCTGCGCCCTGCGCGGTGCCCTCGAGGCCAGAGCTGGGCAGAACCTCACTCACACCCACAACTTCTGTGACACACAATCAGCTCAGACAGGAGGATGGAGCAACAATTACAAACCGACCGACGAAATGAAGAAATATATAAATAGATATATAAATATAACTGTGTTTTTATGCTTTGTCATGAAGGTCTGTAAAAAGGAAAAAAAAAAAAAAAAAAAAAAAAAGAACAAATCCCCAATTTTCTAAAAAACCCAAGCAAACAAAAACAACAACAACAAAAACAGAATAATAATTAAAAAACCCTACAAAAATAAAACTCCAAGTCTCACCCCTCCCCGCCACCCGAATGGCAGACCAGTTCCTCTGACGCTTGACGCTCCTCTTTCACTCTCGGGTTTTGTTTCCTTTCTGTTTTGCACTACAATGGGATGGTGGTATTGGAGAGGATTGGATGCCAGCTCCACCCCTGTCGCCTCCTCCTCCTCCCCTTTCCCAAATCCTGTCTCTGGGGAGCCGTGTGGACAAGTCACATCTGACAAAGTTACCAAACACATCAGTCGACAAAAAGCTCTCTGAGTCAACAAATGTTTTCCATGTCACTGGTTGGCAAACAAAGAAAACAAGCCCAGCTGCACTCTAACTGCGCTTTGTGGTGGAAAGGAAAGTGTGGGGCTTCACGTGGGCCCATCTGATTGCCCTTTGGACAGCTGAGACTGAGATGGACAAATTCAGGATTGGCTGGGATTGTTGCTTGGTTCCCTAGCCCTTAGGCTCCTCTCCTTTAACCCTAATCCCTGTACCCATGCCTACGTCCGTTCACCCACATCCCAACCTTCCCAGTTTTACATATGTCCAGCACCCATTCTCCAGATCCCTACAGCCTGGTGACAACAGCCTCATTATCTGTATCCAACACCTAATTTCCTAACCACTGCAGCCTTGCAACATGGGCCCCTCTTCAATTTCCAGTCCATCTGCTCATATGCCTGATAATTTATGGGCTTACATTCAAATCCATATGCCCACATTCTTCCAGCCAGTCCCAATATGCACCCTCATCTTTTCACATCCAACCCTACATTGTGCACCCTAATATTTACCCCTTATCCCAAATGCTCACCTGATGATTCTCTAGGGATTTTTTCTGCTCTTTTCGGCTCCCAAGTGACTAGCAAACACTGTTCTGCAAAAGGCTAACTGTCAATAGAAATGCTTATTACTCCTGTATTGTCAGCAAACTCATAAACTGTTCCTTGCACTGACACTTCTTAAAAAACACTCAAAGAAAACATGAAGGCAGCTATAGCCTGTCCCCAGGGCATCAAGTCTGCCAAAGCAGATCCTTGCTGTTTTAGAGAGGTTTCTGATAAAATGAATGGGCTACTGTCCATGGACAAAGACAGGATTGAGAATCAAAACTCCAAAGGGCATAAAAGCAAATGATATAGTCCATATAGCCAACATTGTGTATGAAATCCAAAGTTCCCAGCCAGAGATGTGGCTGTGGACTCAGCCTTCTGTTTTCAAGTTTAACTTGTGTGTATGAAAGTCACCATCACTAAACAGCTGTGTTGATCCCGAAGGCCCCTATCACCTAACACTTGTAGCCCTTGCATGGCTCTAGCTGATTATAGGTCTGTGTCTTCTTTAACGGAATGCCCAAATGAAAAGGGTATGGGGGGGGAGGGGGGTGTTTACATAGAACATGAAGAGCTACAATCTGTTCCTGTACAGAATAAAGTCAAAGAGGTTACTTCTGATCTATTATTTAAAGTGTTATTCTGCACTCCTAGCCTCTGAGTAACCTGCTGCAAATAGAAGAGTTGTTTCACTGTCACTGATACCACAATTTGGCCCATTGTCTCATTTTATTCTACATGAGAAGCAAAAATCTGAGTAATGTCTAAAAATGTACCACTCCTTGTTTTCCTCCATAGACAGCAGACAGATGCTGGACCCTGTTCCATAGTCTCCCTTTTAGTCCATCAGTACAGCCCTTGCCCTACCCGTGCTCAGGGCCAAAGGCAATGCATCCCAGTACTGGCCACTAGAACTTCCTGAGGAGGCTCAAGGAAAGGAAATGGTTACACCTCACATTTAGCAACCTGTAGTCCAGGGGCCACCTCAACTGAAGCTAGCAGCTCAGAAATGCTCTTTTTCATAAAGGTGTTTCGCCAAACGTGAGACACGAGATAGGTCATAAAAGCTGGATTTGGTTGGCTCACTCGTGGCTGGCTTGATCTGACCCTCAGAGGGACAAATTCACCACTGATGTAACTCCGCCAATGAAAGGACTTCCACCAGGCGCTGGTTGGTCTGGAAAGTACATAAGTGCAAGTAGTTCGATCAGGAAAATCAAAAGCAAAGCAGAATTATGCAAAGGACTGGGCAGTCTAATCCTCTTCCACCACCATCTGTAGACCCCCATGCGAATGTACTGAATTACATTTGCCAAAGAGTTTCTTGTGTTGATTGTTTTGATTTACAGTCGGTGGATGCATTGTAAAGCAGTATTATAGATAAAGTCTAGTAGCTGACACAGGGATTTATGTGGTGATATTACGCGGAAGAAAACCATCAATATTCATATAGATTCCATTAGACTGGACTATGCAGGAAACGCAAAAATTTACCAATTATTTAATATTATGTTATTTGCAAAAACAATTGCTGCTTTGTAGGAAGATAATGTGTGTAATGTGAAGGCAATTCCTCTTGTATATAAGTTCATCTCCATCTTCATCATGGTAGTTATTAAAACAGCCTCGTCTCATCCTGTAGATAAGGAACACTCTGTCTGTACTGTGCAAGTCTTGTTGTGCTCACTGAAAACAAAACACTGTGTTCAATAAAGCACAGCACAAATCCAGAACCTGAGGGAACAGCCAAACCTTGGAAGGACCCCTTTCCCAAACGGCCAACAGTTGCTTTGTTATAAATGGATTCTTTTTCATTTAATTTTAAAAGTCTTACAGGGAAAAAGGAAAAAAAAAAAAAAAATACTGGAGGAAAGAAATTGCTATGCAAAACCAGTGAAGTCTGTGACTCAGATCTCTCTCCTCCATTCTGCTGTCTCTTCCCTTTCTCTCATTTCTCTCTCATACTCTAATTCACTTCTATCTCTTTCTTTTAGTGTTTTTCATTCCCAGGGCACTTTTCCATCCAGATCAGTATTACTGGTATGGGAGTAGGTATCCGGGAGTTCAGACTCCCCAGTTCTCCACCTGGCTCCAGTGAACCTTTGTCAAGTCCAATTTCTCCCCTATGCCTCAACTCCAATCTTCTGTAAAATGGGGATAACGGTAGTTCCTAGTCCACAGAGGTACGGTGCAGCTGAATTAATTAGCACCAGCTCACCTTTAAGATCCTGGAAAGAAAATTCTATTGCAGTGCTAAGTATTATTCTGAATAATTATGAACATTTCCATTACATTTCTCTCTTTTTATTTTTCTCACAAATAGCTCTTCATTTCTTTGTTCTTCTTTAGCTCTCCCTTCATTTCTTTCACATCTTTCTTAGCTCTTCTGCTATGGTTGCTTTATCTAATGGACCAAGCAGAAATGCTGTGCAACTGCATCTTCTGTAACAGTTTTGCTTGTTTGTTGTTGTTTTTTGTTTGTTTGTTTGTTTTGAGAGGGAGGAATCTTGTGAGTTCTCAAATGCCATACTTCGCTGGGAGGAACAGGGACCACGCTATTAAAAACTGGGCAGCACTTTTGAGTCCTGTTCTCTGAAGCTCTCATGTCCTTTTGGCCCAGCGGGATGTGGGGGCAAGAAGCTGGAAGGGTTGCACAGGGCAGATCTGTTAAAACCTGGGGTGGGAGGTAAAGCAGCAACGAGCCCTGCTGTGTGGAAATGGGGCCACATCTGCATGCTCTGTGACCCACCAGCAACGATGGGTCACATTCAGAACACGACCAGAACTGAAGAAATGAACGTGAGGCTGACAAACCAACCTCAAAATGAAAACTAAAAAACCCTGCACCTATTTCTCTTCTTGAGTATAGATTAATAGATGTACATCAACATTTTCCTAAAGGAATTTTTTGATTTACTGAACTGTTGAAAAAAAATAGCCTTTCTTCCCTATGGAAAAGCAGGCCTCTCAGAAGAGAATTATAGCTGCCTTTGGGATCTGACAGAATGGGGGCTTCTAGAAGATCCCACACATACCATGTTGTGTCCTTGGCTGGGTCCAAGACAAACTTGCAAAGCAGGAAGGAGGGAACAAACAGCAGCAATTACAGAATTGAAAGCAGATCCAACTGCATGCAGCTCTGCTGATGCTCTCCAGGCTGAGCAAGGCATGAGCACATGGAGAGGACCAGTGCCAGGTGCAAGGTAATTTCCATTCTAGGCTGTTGCAGCCACTCCTGGCTTTTCCTCATCGCTTCGGTTCCGTTCAATTCTTTTCTCTTTTTGTGCACATGAAAAATAATTTTTTTATTATTATTATTTATTATTTTTTTTAATGTCATTTTGGTGGCTTGTGGCTTGTTTCTCCTCCCCCCTCTCTCTCATTCCCTCAGCACTCCTCTCTCTCCAGCAGATTCCCTAGAGCTCTCCAGGATGTTATGTTTGCCACACCTTGCACCCTTCAGGCACCATGTAAACAACACCACAATTGCTGGTCAGCATCACACCACATGACAGAAGGCACTGAGCATGAATGCAACCCCTCCCAGCACAAGCCAGCCTCTGAGCCCCCACCTGCCATCCCGCTCCGGTTCATTGCCAGCGGGACTCCGTCTGATATTGATCTCACTGATCCCCAGTGATCCATAACGCATCTGGTGTCCCCAGACACCTTAGAAATGAGAGTGCTGCTGGGTAGCCACCACGTCATGGTGTGGGACAACCCAGCGCCCTCTGCCACTCTGCACCTGTTTCCCCATAGCCCACTTAGGGATGAGCAATACCTGCCCTGCCTGCCTCTGACATCTCGGAGGAGCGATCAGCACCTCTCAGATCTCACTCCCCCTCCTCTGCTGCTCCATTTTTAGCTCCATTTGAAGAATCCCTTTTGCCTGACACTGTTCAAGCTTGCTCTTGCTGAACTTCTATCTTGGTCAACACAAGGCACAGCCAAATGCAAAGTCATTAATGACCCATTCTCCAAACCACTCGTTGTTCGCCTAACAAAGAGCTAGCCATTATA